CTAAGATGTGTTCGTTCGTGTTCGGCTCGTTTTGGCTCGAAATACTACTCATCAAGTTTATATATATATATATATAAAAAGTGGTATTTTAAAAAATATAATTGACTACAAGGCTACAAAGATTTATAATTAATTAAAAGTATTAATCAAGAAAATAGAATAAAAATTATTAAATTAGATTCAAATGATGTTTTAATATAAACAATAATTTTTAAATCTTACCCCAACCCTTAACATCTTATGGCTACGTGATTAGGGATGTCAAAGCGACTATTTGTTCGTGAACAGCTCGTGTTCGGCTCACTAAGCAAACGAGCTGAACACGAACACATTTTTTGAGCTCGAAGTATAAACAAGGCGAACATGAGCTGAGTTTGGGTTCACTCGTGTTCGGCTCGTTTACACTCCTAGATGGTGGTGATGATTAGGAGGTGGCGGCAGGCTTTCCAGGCTGTGGATGAGAAGCAGCCGCCATTATGAGTGGTTGAAACAGCAGGGCAGTAAGGGCCGGTAGTCCAAACAGTGGCACTTTGCTGTTTGAGGCAGCTGGACAGCAAGAAAAAAACAAGGGGGATGTGGGGTAGCAAGGGCAGCCAACAGGAAGGAAGAATGGATGGTTGGGAGGTTGGAGAAGCAGAAAACAACAGGAAAAGGGAGTTTCCTTGCGGCTTCAGCCAAGGGAAATATTGATGGATGCGACCGGGAATGCGGGGGACTGCGGACAACAAGAAGACGGCTTTCTGGGGTGTCGACAACAAGACAGGTGGCTGGAATGGAAAAAATGCAAGGAAAAGAGCAAGGTGTGGCTTTTTGGGGTAGCTGCAGCAATGGAGGGAGGCGGGAGCAGCATGGGGAGGATGCAGAAGGGATGAGGAAGGTAAACACCACATGGAGAACATGATACAGTCAAAGCACCATTTGGAATTATAGGATACAGCCCTCAAAGGAAAGAAGATATGTCTGCGTCTGTCACGATACAAAACATATAAAAAGCTAACCCGAATGACTGTCGCCATGCTAAATACATCAAAAACTAGCCAAAACACAATGAAATAGCATATATATAGATCTAGGATAAATAGAACTGGGTCCCACTCAAAATAGAAGAGAAACCCATACTTCAAAAGACCGGTCGGTCCTTCATTTGCTTGGACCGAACCGGTCCGGAGCAATATCGTGGCATCTACCGAGTTTGGGCAAAGACGCCCCGCATCAGTAATATTGATGCAACTGACGCGAATGTGGCAAAGACACCCCGCATCAGAGGACCTCAACTCTTTTTGTTGATTTCAGTTCAGTCGATTTACAATTAATCATGATCTTAAGAATAAACATTCCATGAAAAAGTGGCTAGTCAAAGTGGAACACATGTACATGAGAAAGTACGGCATACCTTTAGAAGGATTTTTTTCCTTGGGAACTATTTCAATAAGACAGTTATCCTTGAACGATGTAAGCAAGCAAATTTTGGCAGCAAACTGTAATGAAATGAATAACATCAATATAACTAGTGGATAAAGATGAAGATCAAAAGGTTAGATGACAATTTAAATGTTCAAACAAATGCAGTTCATTTTACATGTTTATTCCATTCGCTGCACCTTTTTGTACTCCTGGGCACCAAGGTTATACCGACCACAATTTAGGCAATAGGAAAATAGAAAAAAAAAAAAATCAAAATTAGGTTTCAAAACCAGCTGGAAACTAATGAGGTACAGAAAGTGGTATTGGAAAAAAAAATGAGGCTTCAAACGCAATCTTCCTGCTGACACAATCACATTGTGTCATTTTGTTGCTAATCAATTTCAGCTATCACAAAAAATCGTGCAGCATTTCAAAGAAATAAAGGGGCTTCGTAACATCCCAAATTTTGTAATCCAACCTAGTTTCATGAACCGGATAAAAGAAGTTGGCTCAAGCATTGGAAATGCTGAATGATTTGCGAACAGCTCATATTCGGCCACTAAGTAGTTTTTGTTCACTTCATTCGTTAAGTAAGCCAAACATAGTTTTTTGAGATCGATTTATAAATTTGTTCAATTGGACTAATTTAACCTTGAATTCACATACAATACACTGAGGAGATAATGATGAATAAGGATTCCTAAATGTAATTGATAGAGGTAAGGGTAATAAAATGATGACAATGATGATTGGTCTTGGAGTAAGCGCATCTTGTTTTATTGGCTAAGACCTTTGGTAACAAGTACTTGAACAAAACATAAATAAGTGAGGGAAAAATTTACAAATATACAAAGTTGTGCTTTCATTCAAGGGAAAATAAGCTCATGAATCATGCAACCTAATCACAAATATATCATGAATGCAATATGAAACATACCCGATCTGCTGCTGCTTGAAGGGTTACATGATCTCCCCATTCCCCAGATCTGTAACAAGGAAATAATTTTTAGGGGAAAGTGATAGAAGATTATAAATATAAATTTATACATAAATTGTAAGAGGGGACATGGAAAGACGAGCAGAGGAGGAAAACCTTTTCATATATTTCACGTATCTTTTATAATCCATTGGAACATAACTTTCATAAAGCTTCTGGAATTGTTTAAGCTGAAAAAAAAACTGCAAGGTTCAAAATTTTCCTGAACTGACTGTGAGCTTAACAGCATAAAAGATGATCCTAAAAAATTCACAAGATATCATTCACACAACTTGAGACAATATTTACAGCATATACAGAGTTTGTACGTGGAAACCAAATCATACAACATCAGGAATTGTTAACATCTTCTATTACAATATAATTTTTATTTTTAAATTCCAATGTTTGCCTGGATGGAATTCATATTCAGCTAATTTGTGAACCTTTTTTCTTCTTCGAAAGGGTTTATTTTCAGCTGCCACTCTTATACAAGTTCAGTAAGCCCACTGACCTGATTTGGAGTTTCAGAGTGAATAGGAAATATGTTTTCACAAAAAATAAAAAATAAAAAAATAAATAATAATAATAATAATAAAGCACTATGTATTCAAAGGAATTCAAGCTAATGCTCGGCCAACTGTCTGCAAAATCTGGGCTTTAACTTTTAAGCTAAGCATGAAAGATGGATCTAACTGAAACTGGAACTAGCAGGGAAAAAGTGAAAAACACAATAAGAAACTTTCATTAATATTAAAATAGGATTACAACATGGCTCGAATAGAAATAACAACACAAACACAAACGACATAAGCAAACACTCCTAAATATATTACAATGGGTGGTAGAGATCGGCGAGGTGAGTTGGAATGGCTAGTGGGGTTGGTGTTGGCCACAGAGTGGCGGTGACAGCGAGAGGAAGGTGTGGAACTGTTGGGACAACTGTTGGGACAACGAGCGAGAAAGATTGTATGTGGTCAGCAGCGGTAATGGGGTGGTTGGGACTAGTTTGATCAGAGTCAGAAAGGCTAGCAGCAGAATAAACTGTAGGAAAGGGACAAACAGGGTGTTGCTGTGATGGATGGAGAGTTCGGCGGCTGAGAAGTGGGGAGGAGAAGGTAGAAGGGAAGGTAGAAGGGAAGAATACAATCACCACCTCGAAGAAGGATACCGGAGCACCACTATCACCCCGGATACCGCCCACAAGGGGGAAATGAACTCCACACAGGAAAACTGAAGACAACACAATCTGAACTGACTTATAGACACACCTAGGACGACAATTTATAAGCTCAAATAAACTTCTACAGAAAAGCAGAGAGTAGGAAGGCTAGAAGAATCCAGAAAATCCAAAAATCTACTGTTGCTGACATGCAGGTTCACGATTCTCTCCCTCTCTCGTGTGGTTTCTCCCGCTTCGCGCTTTTTTGCGAGGGATCGCGATCCCGCGGTTCCGCGGGTCCGCGGGCCTCCAACCCGCAAAAACGAAGCGCCCGCATCGGGCGCCCCAACGCCTGCAGCACTAACCTTCAATCAACAATAATGCTATGTTATCTAAAGATTCTACAGTAATCTGAGGTGTCATATTAATGTATGAGAAAACACAAATCTGTAGTAAAATATTAGATAAATAATCACTAGATTCCAACTTTTTGGTTGAGAAAAATGCTTCCATTAATCGATATAACATGCAGAGCTAGCCAAGCTTCAAGTAAAATCATAAGAAATAGCCCAATTGAGACCCTAAGGGGTGGTTTGAGATCATTTTTTTTTATTTTCACCTGTTTTTTTTTTTATCTAGTGATGTTTTCCTTTTGATTTAAACCAAAACATGTTTGGTTGAGTTAGTTGTTCTCAAAAACACTCAAAACTTCATTTAGGTGTTTTGAGTATTTTTAAAAACAGGTTGATTTGTTTTTAAAAATAAAAAATAAAAACATATAAAAATTAAATTAATCAAAATATGTTTAAAAAAAAATCAAAACATAAACAAGAAACAAAAATAATGCCAACTTGGCCCTAAGTAAATCACCCAAAAACCTTCTTGTCATTCCCCAATTGCTAAAAAGCACGCCTACCTAAGAAAGTGTAAGCTTTACAAGCTTCCTAAAAATAAGTAAATTTTGAAAAGATCGACGGAAGAACTAAGTTGGATGTCATTTTGTAGCCCACTAGGTCTAGTGACCGGGGGCTTTGCCTCTAACCAAAAAGGTCTTTAGTTCAAAGCCAGGTACATACAGGTATTTGTGTGAGTTAAATTTATTTGGATACTACTAGTTTTAAGCTATTAGCAAACTAAGAAGAACCATTTAAATATTCTAATGAAACCAGCTTGAATGTTTTTAAACAAGCTCCAAAAATTTGTCACCGGAAAGAAATAAGGAGGATACAGTTCTAAGAAAATTACCTGTTTCACAACCTGCTTCCTCACATGTTTGTGATAGTCAGGATTACGGAAAAGCTGATCTGCTAAAGCTCTAAACTGTATTAACCACAAGAATTCATGTAAGTAACTATAAAAATTAAGAAGAGGGCAAATGGAATGATAGCAGGCTTATAAGATGTATGAAAATGAAAGTTAAACCCTATTGGCAAAAGCAAAATTCCATGAATAAACCTGACAATTTCCATCTCCTTCAACATGTAATTCAGCTAAACCATATGTTGCCAGTCTGAAAGAGTTGAACTAAAAAAGAAAAGTTAGATCAAAGGGCATTGGAAAAAATGATTCATCGAAAGTAAACAGTTAACAATATTATTATATCAATATTGTAAAATGTGCTAAACCTTCAAATTAGGAATCTAAAGCAGTTATTACTATAATATATTATCATTAATGAAGTTATTTTACTTTATGCTTACTTTTATGCCCTCTTCTCTTATATATATATATATAT